TGTAGTACTGATGCAAAATGGCCGAGCAACCAACCAACTTGTGAACGTTTATCAAGTAAAACTGAATATTTTCATCAAATACTTGTTTTTTGTTTTGAGACTGGTAGTCTGAATATATGGGCAATTTGATAAAAGAAAAGTCACGATTTTATCAGATTATTGTTTGCGTGTACACAGCAAGGTTGGTGGCAAATCAGAGTTCATTTAAGCTCAGGTAAACACTGTTTTGATGTTGAAGTATTTTTTTCAGAGAATAGGCGGTGTCCCACCATAGAATCGTCCGATGGTTTGATTGTTTTGGGTGGTTCAAATGTGGGTCGGACTGCAAAATTCAGATGCAAGGATGGCTATGTACGTAACGGACCAAAACAAATTAAATGCAATGAGAATGGAAAATGGAATCTGAATCCTCCCACGTGTGAAGGCATGTAAAAATGAATTAAATTTATATAAATGTTGTATTTATTTGCAAAATTATATGAGCCCTGATCCAAATGCCTGTGAGTAATTTTGTATGAATATATTTTAAGTACATGAAGAATGTTGGGAATGACTCTTACACCCCAGTCACATTTCCTACGGCGACCTTGCGGTCTATCATTTCTGCGGCCAGTAGCTTTTCTACGCAGAAATACACTGATTTAATTGATCTGCGGTCGACGCACGCCCTTCGTACGACAAATGTGACTGGGGTGTTAGAAGACGGGGATTATTTTATATGTTGTTTTTGGTACGCAGATATGTTTAGGATATCATGCGATTTTAAGTGATATATTTTCACAGGCTGGTTGATATTATTGTTTTTTTATGATATCAACAAGTTATCATGCAGATTCACACTACCCTACCACGTGACCACATTTAAAAATGATACAGGGTACGGTTAAGTTGCAAATGGAGCGGGTATTCTCTATCTTTGTCCATTGGGCTTTTCTGGTAATAATACGTTGCAAACTGCTCGATGAATCTATACAATGTATAGTAGAACACTTAGAATATGTGTAAAATCTAGTATACATTCAGAACTATGGTAATAAACAAACGTCCTCCATTTGCAACTTCCCTGTAGCCTGTACTTCTTTTAAAGGAATACAGGATACAGTATGGGGGTATAGTAGTGTGAGATTTGGCCTCAACAATATATTGTAATTCAATATCTTCTTTCCATTTGATTACTTACCTGACGTAAAATCACAAACATTTCTTATTTCTACAGAAGATGGATTCTGCCTCGACATAAGCCAGAATATCGAAGATCCACGTCTCGTTATAAAAGGGAAACCTCCTTACAAGTTAAATGATAACATAAAGTTTAGATGTAAACCAACTGACAGGAATCGAGCTGCAAAATTTGAGAGGGTGGTTCCTGAGAAATTAAAATGCGGACCTGGAGGTGTTTGGATAAATAAAGGAAATGCCTGGGATGAGGTCCTTCCTACTTGTGAATTTACAGGAAGTAAATATCTAAAACAAAATAATTAGAATGATAAATTCTACTTAGATCGTGATACAACATATCACAAAAGTTTTGACTATATGTTTCCTTTAGAAGACACTTCTAATTGCTTTAAGTGGCAGAAAGGGATCAAACTATAACTCTCTAAATAAAATCCAAGAGCTTCTTTCAAAGTCAAATGTGTTATATCTAAAAAACAATCATCATTGGTCAAGTTGAAATTTGAGGAGTAGAAATATCTAATATTAAAGAATTGCAGATATATGACTTTATACAAGTTTATCAAAATATCTTCTGAAAAAGCGCTAGACATTTATACGTTATATAGATTATTGTCTACGACGCAAGTGATTTTTTTCTCATGAAAGTAATTTTTATAAACATATACGAGGGGTAATCAATAAGTGACGTACGCTTTTTAGAATGAACCAAAAAAGCTTTTTACAAAGTCACTTTAAATTAACCAAAAAGCGTCCATTACTTGATCACCCCTCGTATGTTCCTAACCCTTGTACTGTAATTTTGCAGGTGTTGCCAGTGGCTGTAGAAAAGATAAAATATATTTGCCACTTCTCAAGGGAATTGATACAAGAGGAAAGCCTAAAGGTGCGTATCTTGACAGAAGGGGAGTGTAGAAGAAACAACATTTAAAAATGAATCCCCGCTATAAATAAGTACTTAATATAGCAATAAAAGCGACTGTGTATAACTTTAAAATCAGGTGGTTGTTTCAGACTAAAAACAACGTTATACCAAATACTGCAATGGAACATTCAAATAGTACTCTGCTATTGATGACGTCGACATTGCCGTTAACTAGTTGTGACATGTACTCAATTTGTAACACATCTTATTTGAATAAATGTGATGCTTACACATCTGAGCTTATAATTCAGGAGCATAATGTTTTATTATGATGTTCATCACTTCGTTTAAGACTTGATCGAAAAATTATGTCTTAGAGTGTAGCTTAAATAGTGCTCTCTTCTCTTCAAAATATTGGGAAGAGTACCCATATCATTAACCAATTATATGATGATCCTTGCATTTTCCGAAACAATATTGTTTTCTCCTTGTATATGGCGTGTCCGAGAATACTCGATGCGTTAAATTGTGTATAATTTGTATTGAAAGCATATCATATTATTTGGACAAATTGTCCTCCTTGTCTTAATTTTCATTTTTATTCATAAATTTATTTTTTTGCATTGAGGGTTGATATTTAGTTGCTGAATTCGGACGCAAAGCTGTATTCTAGTACTCCCTTTACTTACTTAATATGCCTCAAACACGTCCAGAATTTATGTACAAATGCGTTCGAGATAAACGTGTTTCAACTTTGTGTGTTTAGTGTGTCTTGATTTGGTGATTATGTTGGACATATCCTGTGGTATACGTGACTGTACTAGGGATCGTTTGAAGGCTGCTGCATCTACCGTAGCTAAAGCTTTGTTGGCATCCTCCAGAGATACAGTCCGTATTGGCCTCATGGCTTACGCTGAGAGAGTGACACATATTTTTTCGCTAGGTAGGCCAAAGCCTAAAGTAACATACAGAAAATTGATCTATTCTAAAACAATTGAAACACGACTGGGTCTGATTTTATAATGCAAACATATATTTCTGGAGAGCTAAAGTTATAAATTTGATTGGTTACAGATCTTCATGGTTAAATTGACAAAAAACTCATACAAAGAACCACCTTCTAATTTAAAAAAAGATTTCTCAAGCGGTATTTTAGTACATTTCCCTGTATGAAATAGAGATTATTGCTCTCTATTAGAATGAAATGTTTTGTTCACATATTGTCACCAACATTTTTGTGACGGCGGTTGGTGTTCGGCGGTTGGTGTTCGGCGTCTGTAACAATGGCAGATGGTGACATAATAAATGTGAATGTCTTGTAATAACTTGTGTTTTTATGTACATAGATAACAAACATCCTGTTACCGATCTCCTTAATTTGATTGATAAGATGAATACTACAAGCCCAGGATGTAAAACATACACCAACCAAGCCTTCCGTGATGTTCAGACCAACTACTTTGACAATGCACCACCCGCCGGATACAAACAGGTCCTGCACCTCTATACAGATGGTAGAACATTTGAGACAAGGCTTCAAAGTGAGACGATAAAAGAAGCCAAAAAATTGAAGGAGAAAGGAGTGTTTCTCAATGTTATAGCTGTCCCTAATAAGTATGTCAGTATAAGTCATCAGTATTCTGCATTTCCTGCCTGCTTTTATAATAAGTTCCCTCTCTGTGATAATGGTTCCTGATTGTTGGGGGTAGGGGTTATTAGACATTGTTTCTTCCCGTGTAAGATCATAGCTAGGGATATTTGGGGTTTAGTTTCATTATGACTGGTTAAACTCGCTAATGTTACATTTTCTTGTGCATATTTAACACATTTTGGCACTTGTGCATCCATATTGTGTCAGTACTTGAGAATGGTGAGATGTATTTCAGGTTTGGGAGAAATGGAACATTTGAGTTTGAAAACTTGCCTACGAGCTCAAAGTACCTGTTCAATGTGACACAGGGGGATGTTACAAGGAAGCTCTACAGTCGCATGGTGAATGATGCTCCGTGTCCATAAGTGATTAAAACAGGACTTTTAAATTCAATGTGGATTTCATAAAAAGGTTAAAGCTTCAAAAATATAAATTCGGAAAATAAAATTTAGAAATGATTGTTATGTATATTTAGAATTTGTAAGTTAAGGACATTGAAAAATTAGGATGCAAATGTTGTGCAAAATGTTCTGAACCCTGCTCCATCATTTGTAATATGTCATGGTATACACTATTATTGTAAACGTATTGAATAAATCAAAGAGTCTACCACTTTTAAGGATATTTCAGTCAATTTCTTTAATTTTATTGACGAAAAGAACAATGAGGACGCCAATTTTGTGCAAAATGTTCCGATCTACTCCTTCCTTTTGTAATCTGCCACTACACATTAAGGAACATACAAACGCCTAACATCCATCACTTTTCATTGATGTTTTCAAAACTTGAATAGTTACAGTTAGGGACAGCGTCTATGGCGTTGTCTATGGCCCAGAGCGATATCGCGTGGTGTGTTGTTTTAACACAGATGATTTTGTCTATGACGATATCATCGAAACATTTCTTAATTGTTTCATCTGATCAAGATATAAACTTTAAATGACATTAAAAGAATATATTATTTCTAGCCCAATCCCTTTTTATTACTACAACGTTTTTATATTTACATAAACACAATAATATTCAGATCACGTGACTATGTGACGTCAGTGTATAATCTCCTGAGCGCCACCTATTGCAGGTCCCGGATTAGGTTCTGTCATCTCATATGGACAGTCATAATTAGTTTTCAAGTCACATCCTCGTATTAGTGGATTGAAAACAAATTTTTCAGACGGACATTCAATATGATATTTTACTCCCTTGGCACATCTGACAAATTTCTGGCAGTCCTCTGTATCTGCGTAAAATCCATCATGGTGGTGCTTGCAAAACCGTGGAGACGACGGACTATAGGGGCAGTCATATTGTGATTTGTGAACGCATTTCTTTGTATTCGGATCAAAGACAAAATCTCTGGATGGACAGGAGAGATCAATTCTTCGTGTATCCGCGCATCTGGGAATATAACAAGAAAATAAGCATGAAGGAAATTAAGTTTTCTGGACAAATAATAACTGTGTCTCACTAGCAAATCAAAACATTAATGTGGTATGCATTAAACACGGGATTAAACATATGCACGATTAGGGACCTAGTTATATTTCATTGAACAACATAATAACACGCCCAAATCAGAATATTTACTCAACTGGACTGTTTAAACTTCAATTATAGCTCAAGGTATGACTTTTCTGAAAATAACTTCTGTCACATTTTTGTCGTAACTTCAAATAAACGCATGGCTGTCAACTTGATTTTTACAATCTTTTAAAATACAATCTCACGTTTCACTTACTTAAAAATTTAAACACAGTTATGCTACATATACTCCACTCTTGAAAATAAAGACTCCGAGGGGCATCCTTATACCTCAGTCATATTTGATACATGGCAACCGTACGACTGCCGTAGCTTCCCAAAATCGACAGGAATATTCAGCATAAAATATAGGAATAGGCAGTGCAATTTAGATTTTCTATATCGATTTTGTGAATATGTTGCCGCTGTACAGCTGCCACAAAGCAAATGTGACTGCTTAATACGTAAAAAATATTGTGACTGGTGAGAAATCTCTCCATACTAGTGAGAGATCTGTACGTATGTGACTTATTTAGGTACCGTATGTGAACATATACCTATGTACATTATGTGAACATAATCGTAAAGATGCTCGGACTAATGGAAAATCTGTCCATATGGTACCTATGTACATTATGTGAACATAAACGTAAAGATGCATCGTGACTAATGGAAAATCTGTCCATATGGTACCTATGTACATTATGTGAACATAAACGTAAAGATGCTCGGACTAATGGAAAATCTGTCCATATGGTACCTATGTACATTATGTGAACATAAACGTAAAGATGCATCGTGAATCATGGAAAATCTGTCCATATGGGACCTATGTACATTATGTGAACATAAACGTAAAGATGCATCGTGACTAATGGAAAATCTGTCCATATGGTACCTATGTACATTATGTGAACATAAACGTAAAGATGCATCGTGACTAATGGAAAATCTGTCCATATGGTACCTATGTACCTTATGTGAACAAAAACGTAAAGATGCATCGTGACTAATGGAAAATCTGTCCATATGGTACCTATGTACCTTATGTGAACATAAACGTAAAGATGCTCGGACTAATGGAAAATCTGTCCATATGGTACCTATGTACCTTATTTGAACATAAACGTAAAGATGCATCGTGACTAATGGAAATTTGTCCATATTGGACCTATGTAGCTTATGTGAACATAAACGTAAAGATGCATCGTGATCGACTAATGGACATTGTGTCCATATCGGACTTAAGTACCTTATGAACTTGTTGCACTCTCCCTGTCTTGCATAGAGTCCATTTGGTCTAGGGTCACAGAAATTCGGAGATGTCGGATTAAGGGGACATTCATACAACTCGGGAGGCACGCAGTTGTTGATTCGCTAGAGGTAAAAAGGCATATAAATTACATCGCGGTTAAGTAGTAGGACGTCACCTCCACTCCCAAGACTCAATGCATTGTGGCAGATTCACTCCACTCGGGTGTTGGTTCCTTAATTTTGCTATTCATCTCGTGCAAAGTTTCAAACAACATCTTGGAAAAATGATAATCAGTTCACAATGCACTGAGTCAAAAGGCTTAAATCCTTTAATAGATGACACACATAATTCGCTTTAGCCAATAGAGTACACAGCACATGCAATAGTAATCCAGGTTTACGTCATTAAGTATTCAAAATTTAGTCAAATGATACTATAATTGAAAACTAGAAAATCTTCTAAAAACTCAAGTTGAGGGGAACCTATTCCTTTATCTGCTATGGTCGACCATAAATCCTGACCCGAATAAGCCACCCGGTGGTGACACTAGTATAGTAGCTATCTATTGGCAGCTTGGTAATTAAACACAGTACTAAAATGTTACTTACACTGTTAAATACGTAGTCGGAGGGCACACAATGGAACTCCTTCAGAGTATTATTCAAGCACTGCATAAATCGGTTACATGTATTGGGGTGAGGATAGAACCCTTGCTTCTTATCACCGCAGAACGAATCTGAAAAAAGGGAGAGCACTGATCACTGACTGAAAATGTTAATATTGCAAAAGACGAACGAACGAAGATGCTTCAAGAAAGCAATTAAATTCCTTCAAGAATTAGATCTTCGGCCATCTTTGGGTACGGTACAATAACCGTTACCCGAACTGAAAATTGCACCACTTATTTATACATGTACTTCTCTTAGAACAGTGAATAGGATTCTATCGCTGCTGCAATCTTTATGTCGGGCCAAAAACTGGGTGAGCCAAATTGACTGACATTCTGGCAGGGAAAATGAAAAGTACTCATATACAAATAGATGTAACAACCATACAAATTACACTCGGAGGAAGTGTTAGTTGTCACTCGTTATTTTTTTGTGACTGAAATTCCCTACAAAATGTCCCTGCTTATCACATTATCTCCTGATTTTAAGAGAACATGTTTCGAGAAACAAGAAAAGGTCAGTAAGGCCAATTAGAAGATGATGTCAAATTACTACAGAAGTTGATTTGAACTGTAAAGTGCAGATATGACTTCAAAATCAACAAAAAGTCGAGTGGCATTCTATTACTCGAGTCTCTAGCTTACAGCTAGACGAAACTTCATTGATTTCGTATGTACTGTGCTATACGCACCTACACGCACCTAGAACTCATTTTTAATCAATTTTATAAATATTTTTAAGAATATTAATCATATTTAGGATGAAGCGTTGCTTGTCTGGATTTAGATATTTCAAAATTTCATTTCGGAGTTTGACACATGGTGAAATTTTCTCGCTGTAGCTAAAAATGGCTTCCGGTTCTGGACGTGAATAACATTTGAAATTATTCTCGCTTAAAGAAATCAAATATAACAATAGATTCAGACGGGGATGTGAGCTGATGTTCTTCAAATCTATACATAAAGGTATATTTCATATTATTATGCCATATTTACTGTGCGTGTGACACAATGATTTACAATATTTATAATACTAAGGCAGCTCAATCTTCCTCCTCAAAGCCGGAATATAGAGAAGGCTTTGGACCGAAGTAAGCATTCTACATTTCCATACTTTTTAACGAATTACACTATAACCTTACATCATGTGCTAATTTGACGCTTAAAAAGTAACAAATATGGACATTTTGAAGGGACCAAAGACCATAAATGATTCTGTATATATATCTAGATTGACCTACGATTACTATAATTGTCATGTTTTTCGAAGATGACAGCCACGTCACTTTAATACAGTGATTGAATAGAATACACACACTCTTACTAAACCCCTTGGTTGAATAGGTTACAGACAGTTATCGTACATATAGGTTTTGTGCCAATATAAAGATGGCAGCAGCTGTAGAATCCGTATAACCATTAAAAAAGTACATGCATAAATAAACACATATTGATTAACCTGCCCTCTTTATTTAAAAATTATTGTAATAAATGATTAGATAAAAGAATGTACACCCATGTATGGTTGTTTCACTTACCATTAAACAATGGCTCTACTCTCACTGGGTTTCCAGTAGGCTGGTGAATCGGAGGAGCAAGGGCGCTAAGAGAAGACTTCTTTATAAAAATAGCGGCCCAGTCACAATCGTATCGCTTGAGGAAACTAAATCAGAGAGGGTATATGTGATGATAAGGTTTAATTTAATAAAGTCCTTGTGCCCCTCCTCCACTCTCTCATTGGTTGGGGAAAGCATGCAAAATGACATGAAGCAGATTTGGCGTTGTCCCCAAGTATTGTCCTGGTATATCTACTAAAATCTACCTGGTCCATTAAAAAGGTTTCAGAGAGGGTATAAATTAGGTTTAATTTGATGAAGCTATAGTGCCCCTCACCCCCCCCCCCTCCTTCATTGGTTGGGGGAAAGTATGTCATATGGGATGAGACAGCCTTGGTGTGTCCCCAAGTATTGTCCTAATATATCTATTGAAATCTACTATCTAGTACCTGGTCTACCGATAAGGCAAAATACAGGGCTTTTTTAATTTTTTATATTTTTGACTAACTTTTCTACTGTACATTGTTGATTATTGTACTGATGTACTGTGAACGTTACAAGAATGTACTGTAACAGGAAGGTGGTACTGGGTTGAGTCAAAAGTGGTTCGTCGTGGTTCAGGTCTGCACGAAAATAACCGACTTAAAATGTGAACATTATCATACATAATTCTATTTTTGAATCCATCTTGACAGCTGGTAAATAAACACTGGTACTAATATAAGATACCTTGGCAGCACCTATTGATGACATCAAAGAGCAAATTGTAAGGTGGAAACGACACCACGGAGCAATTCATAAGAATATAATTACATAACACAGTGAGCCCATGATATCACAGAGCAATTCAAGATCAGATGACTTCATGGAGAGATTACATCACATGGACCTAGCAGAAATAATGTCACATGACTGCTGAGCAGAATATCAATAATATTCTGCGTCAAATTAGAAGCAGCACCAAGTTCTATATACTCCATGGGTAAATCAAAACAGGATACAATAAAGGACAATCATGAAGCTTATGGCATGTATCGTTGGTACCGCTATTTCAAAGAGTGAGAAAGTCAGTTGTAGGTGAACCCGGACAGGGGTGACCAAAAGCTGTAACTTCCCCTTGTCAGAGTGAGTACAATAAAAAAAATGTTGGATAAATTCCTATCAGAAAAATTGCAGACATGACTGATTCAAGTGTTGGTCGCACACACCATGTAACTCATAATAATGATAATGACATTGATGTGTAAAAAGTTTGTGCACAAACAATTGACTGAGGAGCAATATTCACATTTTAAGTTGGTCATTTTGAGACTTTTTTCGTGCAGACCTGTTCCACCACTAACAACCTTTGGCTCAACCCAGCACCACCTTCCTGTTGAAGCACAGTCCTATAACTTTCACAGTACATAGGTTTAATACCAATGCACACTAGAAAAATTAGTAAGATATATTAAATCAAAAAAGTTACAGCATTTTTATCAGTACGTATTGAACCCTTGTATGCTCGTCTTCAATACCCCTAGTACAGTGAGATGAAGATGGGAGTAGATTAAGGGTTACCTACCTGTTAGAATCCAACCCTCGTATGCTCGTTTTCAATACCCCTAGTACAGTGAGATGAAGATGGGAGTAGATTACGGCAATTTGTTTCATGATTAAGAGGTCTTCGTAAAATTGCAATCCAAAATTCGCCACAACACTCCCAGACCTATGTGAAGAGAGGTATAGAGAGTCATGTTGATGATTGGGCAAATTGTATTCAGCCATCAAATAAGAACGTTTAAATTTCCGAAAGGTTTGACTATATCAATATCCTTAGAAGAAAAGCGTGTGTGTCAAATAAGAACGTTTAAATTTCCGAAAGATTTGACTATATCAATATCCTTAGAAGAAAAGCGTGTGTGTCAAATAAGAACGTTTAAACTTCCGAAAGGTTTGACTATATCAATATCCTTAGAAGTAAAGCGTGTGTGTCAAATAAGAACGTTTAAACCTCCGAAAGGTTTGACTATATCAATATCCTTAGAAGAAAAGCGTGTGAGTCAAATAAGAACGTTTAAACCTCCGAAAGGTTTGACTATATAAATATCCATACAAGAAAAGCGTTTGTGTCAAATAAAAACGTTTAACCCTCCGAAAGGTTTGACTATATCAATATCCTTAGAAGAAAAGCGTGTGTGTCAAATAAGAACGTTTAAACTTCCGAAAGGTTTGACTATATCAATATCCTTAGAAAAAAAGCGTGTGTGTCAAATAAGAACGTTTAAACCTCCGAAAGGTTTGACTATATCAATATCCTTAGAAGAAAAGCGTGTGGGTCAAATAAGGACGTTTAAACCTCCGAAAGGTTTGACTATATAAATATCCATACAAGAAAAGCGTTAGTGTCAAATAAAAACGTTTAAACCTCCGAAAGGTTTGACTATATCAATATCCTTAGAAGAAAAGCGTGTGAGTCAAATAAGAACGTTTAAACCTCCGAAAGGTTTGACTATATAAATATCCATACAAGAAAAGCGTTAGTGTCAAATAAGAACGTTAAACCTCCGAAAGGTTTGACTATATTAATATTCTTACAAGAAAAGCGTGTGTGTCAAATAAGAACGTTTGAACCTCCGAGGTTTGATTATATTAATATCCTTACAAGAAAAGCGTGTGTGTCAAATAAGAACGTTTAAACCTCCGAATGGTCTGACTATATTAATATCCCTACAAGAAAAGCGTGTGTGTCAAATAAGAACGTTTAAACCTCCGAGGTTTGATTATATTAATATCCTTAGAAGAAAAGCGTGTGTGTCAAATAAGAACGTTTAAACCTCCGAATGGTCTGACTATATTAATATCCCTACAAGAAAAGCGTGTGTATTCACATAATTTATGAGTGAACCAATTGCAAAGGTGCGTTAGAGATTATTAAAATAAATACTGAATTTTCAAAGTAAATAATTGAAGGTCAAAAATTATCAAACAGTTTCTCTTTAGGCTAAATAAAATTATTTTTATAAGAAAAATACCTAAAAGATATTATCCTGCAGTTAACATAGGCACGATGTATTTTACTCCTTGCCATAATCTTGGTTATCTGAAGAGCACAATAGTACATGTAGTAATATTTTTTTAAATGAATTTTTTTTATTCTAGCTTATAAAAGAGTGGTTTCACGTGGACAAGTGCGAGCTTGACGAACATGCTTGCCATAGCAACTAAGAGTGACATCACCATACAGTGCTCATATACAACCAACAACGCAAGTAAACAACTCATGTTACCCTAACAACCAACAACGCTAGTAAATAACTCATGTTACTCGTGTTTCGAATAACTAGTAATCAAATTCTAAAATTGATATAAATCCTCGCTACTTCGTAAGTAAAATAGAGAGTAAAATATCTTACCGAATCGCAGACCTCTTTAGCAACTAACTGGTAAAGGATAGATGTTCGATCAGCTAGGTCGTCGCTAAAAGTCATCGCTTTCAGCTTTATTCTGCCCGAAAAGTATACTGTTCGTGAAAAAAAGTATTTCAATAAATCAGTTTTAAAATCAATTAATAATTCAGAAAATAATGTTCCCGTCTTTCATTAGCAACTGAGCAAAATTCTCCAGGACATCTTATGTTCAAGTTATCAAATGTAGGCTTTCTAATGATTTCACCAATGACTATTTTTAATGACTAGGTGAGAGCGGGGTAAGATGGAATGCGGGGTGAGACAGAAAGATGGCTTTTTATTGAATAATTGTTTAAAAGAGGTTACTGAGTAATCGAAAATATATCCAGTGATCTCTCTGTTCAACCACTATTTTCTTGTCAGCTGAAACTAACATTGAAATAATAAAGCCATTTTCCGTCTTACCCCGCGTTCCATCTTACCCCGCGCTCCCCTAATTTCATTTTTTGCTACGACTTTTCAAATAAGTACAGAATGGATGCTTTAGCGTACTGTCAAAATTGCAGCTTACCTTTCTTTCCATTTGTAGCATAATGTGGTTTTGTTACTTCAGCAGTTGTCGTCGTGGTTGGAAGAGTCGTAACTTCGGCCATCCTCGTTGTAGAAGTTATTTCAGGTTCGGGTTCAGGAACTACACTGTGAACATTGTCTGATACACCATTTCTAAACTGGGCTAAAAGGGCGGGGTTGCCGGCGAAAAGTGTAACTAAAATTAAAAGATAAACGAACCGAGTTTACAATTTTTAAACAAATTCAAATAAATATTTAAGAAGTCGATACAAAAGCAGGCATTCGTTTTAAGCGACGACTGACACAGTCTGTTTAACTTTTTAATGGTTCTATCAGAACGATGAGTCTTTTTTTTACATAAATATCTAAATTAAACTTAAGGGAAATATTTTTTCGTGTTAACAAACTTACTTATGAAATACAGTGCAGCGGCGACCATTGCCAGAGCAAATGTGAGGAGCACTGAATTGAAAATCATTATACACACTAATTTCCCATGCTTTTTATCCTTCCGGTGGTACCCAAGTGGAAACCCCATCATTGAGGGAGAAGGTGGTTGGTAGTAACCAAGACCCTGGCGGTAAGGATCAACCCCCTGTCGTACATAATCCCCTCTTAGTTGGATATTTGGATTATAGCTGTACGCCCAGGTTTCCCTGGGGTCGTCGGGGTCCATTTCCTGAGGATGCTGGCCCCTATGGCGGGATTTCTCATGTCTTCCTCGTCTGTGGCCTTCGTCATCATTCTTTGATCTCTTTTCGTGACGTATGTTGTCGTCATCAGATTTGTGGTCACGTGAATCAGCATCAGAGCCGTAATCGTGGTGTTTCATGGGCATTTCTGTTACTCGATCTCTCTTGGCCTTTTTAGCTTTCTTTTGTTTTGATTTTTCTTTCTGTTTGCGGTCTTTTTCAATGGGGTTTCTAGTGTCGTAAACGTACGGGTTCCACTCCGGAGGAACGTTATCGGGGCTCAAATCGAATATGTTCTTGTCTTCGGCGTTCCAGTTGTTGGGAGGGTAGGGTATTGTTTCCGTAGGTTTCTGTGCCGGTTGCTTCATAAATGGAGATTGAAACAACGCTGGTTTGCTCCACTGGAAATCAAGTGTAAAAGATGATAAGATGAACTCGCTATAAACTAAAAAGACGTTTATTAACCCGCTCTGGGTTCTTAAGGACAGTTGAGCAATTGGGCGCCGTAACCACGAGGTTGCGAGTTCGAGACGCGTGTGCTCCTTGTGTTTATTCATTTAAGCATGTAACACTTTATTGCGTATTTAATTTTCACTATATTATGAATAAGCATTACTAACTAATCTAGAAATATAAATGTGACTTGATTATAAATGCTAATGTATTTATATACAAGTACAGTATATATTAACGATTGTTTCATTCAACCAAATTCACATGGTATGTTGAATTTAAGGATTGAAAATACATTTACATGATGCATTCGACATTTCCCATCTTATCCATATATATTTCGTTAGCATTTATATTTTCAATTTTCTTTACCTTTTTCTTGACCTTAGTTTCTTTACCTTATTTTTGAGTTTCATTTTTAAATAAAGTATGACTATGCTATACTATAAGCTCAGTGTGTTTACTGTTTCTGCTTTTTGCCCACAGCAGTTTAAATTACGACATATTGACATGTTTTATGGTTTTGTAAAATCTCTTAGTCAGCCCCTTGCTCATCTAAAGCCATGATCTCATCTTTAAGGAACATAATATGACCAAAGAGTGGTATTTTGACATTTCTAGATTGGGATACCATTGTGAAAGAAATTCTACCAGTGACAATATCTAGTTATCTATTCTAATTCGGATTTATCATGAATGGATTGATATTTTTGTTGTTATGTATCATTAAAATAAGCCACATACTCAATATGATGTCATTTTGTGTAATGACTCATGCCCTCAAGAAAGTATAAATCATGGTACATTGTTCTGGATAATTTTGACATGCATTAAGGAGCATCTTTCAACTGCAGCCTTACAAGCATGGGTTTCGTTCTTGAGTATGTAGTTTATCTTAATGTGGCCGTCGTAAATGTCAGCCCAGAGTGACAACTAGCTATAGTATTATCTTGGCCGTTACATTAATCTAACCTTCGAGAAAATGTCACCATTTTCACGTTTTGAAATGCAAGATAGTAAGAGAAATATTGATATCAATATATGTATGAAATAAATTTACATGCAGTTGTCAGTGAATCGTATAGTTATGTTTCATATGACAAGAATTTCGTTGAAAAAAAAATATAACCAATATGGTTGAAGCAATGGCATTTAATCGACATTTTCTACTTTTTACCCGTTTCTATTTATTGACCACACAAATCATGAAATCCTTACATAATTGTTATAAATGCTGAATTGTCTCATCTGGAATGTTGATCGTGTATGACTGATTATGAGACCCAACAATCACACAAAAAACTAAATAGTATTTATCTTTTAAAATACTATAAGACCAGGCCAATTTAATAAAGTATGGAACGTCAGTACTTTAATTTCGAACTTTAGCACGAACTACAGAGTTCATATACATGTAAACCCCATTTAAAACGATGTATCGAAATTCCATGAATTACCGACATTGCACATGGAAAATATAGCATAATGCCCTACCTCATATGCAATTTTCTTCTTCCTGTCTTGTTTCTGGTCGGAACTTTCTTCTTCCTCGCCTTCTTCTTTATCATCTAATACATTGACCGCATTACTCAGCTCATTATTCAAAGAGTTTAATACGTATACTCCACTTTTAACCGGTTTATCCTTTTTATTTTTGTTTTTCTTGAATTTTCTTTTTGGGTTGTCTGGTTCTTTTTTGCTTGCGTAGAAGATCTTTTCGGTTTGCATATTGATCAGTGTAATAAAAACGTCACCAGTGAATGATGTGGTTTAGTCGCTAGAGGGCGCTAATGCATTACCTATACGGTCTCGATATTGTTTTTTCTAAAAGTATGGAATATGTTCTAAGATATGTTGTGCAGTTCAAAAAAAAAATTATCAAAATTTGTAATGTCTTATTTATTTATCTTGGGATCACAAAAGTATATTAAAGTATTGGAATCTTCTCATTTTGACCATTATTTTCAGTGTTGATAGCTCAGTGGTTCGGTGTCATCTTTACCTTCCTTTTGTGTTCATAGAAAGAACAAGTATAGATCGAAGACTTGGTCTATATTAGTAGATTACAGAGTGTACCCATATATTAACTACCTGTTAAATACAGAGTGAACCTGTATCGGAAAACTCGCATATGGTTCTTTTTTCTTTGATTGGACACTTTGCATTGATATTTAAATATTTATAACAAACATATATTTTACATATAAATCAATTTATTTATCTACATTTATTGAAAATCTGGCAAATTTTATATTCATATATTTACAATCTTTATATTTACATACATACATATTTGGTTCGTAATAATTAGATACATACACGTCGTTGTACGTCCCAACCGTATACTAACAAAGTTTGTTTAGTTTGACAATATCTCATCACCACGCACGTCCCACTACAAATAAAGTGAAGTTTGAAAAACGTTACTAAAGATCCGTATGCAATATTCCACCAACCATCGTCGTCCCTGTGATGTTCTTCCTTAACGATGTGCTGGACGATGGCCTAAATGAATTCCTAGAGGTCCCACTCGAGGTGAGAAAGTATTCACATTTACCGTCATTGTTCTTGTGGAATACAACATTCGAGGATTCGTAATTGTAGTCAGTCATAGTTAGATCGAGGATGTCCTTTTTTGGTGGAGATTTGAGAGATTTTGAACTTCGGGAACATACCTCTCTTGTGATATGTTTCTGGGTGAAGAGCTCCTCTGGAATTTTTATTTCTTCTATGCAGATACTGTCCGTGATATGAATTGTCGTTTTCTCGATTTGAATTGTCGTTTTCCCGATTTTATATTTCTTGTTTGGATGTACGCAATCGCGTTCAATTAGTTTATCGTGGTTTCTTTTACGACAATTATTTGGCATTGTATTTGCTGGATCTTCTATTGTAAAAGTCGTCTGCTTTTCCAAAGCGCCATCTTTGGGGCATGTCTCTGCACTATTACAAGTGCCTTTGTTCGTCTGCGTTTTATTGCCATGAAGCCCACCTGTAACTTTTTTAACAAGACGAGCCAACTTTTTCACATGTTTTGATTTTGCTCGCGTAGTTCTTTCCCCAGATTGTTTATCTTTGATTGCATCTCCAAAAATTGACTCAGTCTTTACCCGTACGTCCACAATCAGTGGCTTTATCTCTGTTTTTGGCTTGATGAGACCTTGTAATATTCCTTCAGTCGAGACCCTATTTAGTTTCGCCTGTGAGAGCTGACGGATTGTTTTTTGGTTACATTCCACAAAAATATCAGCTAGATTGCTTTGTGATTGTACTTGTTTTTTCGCCTTCATCTTTAGTTTCTCAGGATCAATTTCCCTCACCTGTACAGCCAATGGCTCCTATAACTATATTTTTCAGTTGGTTCTCCTTCTCAATGAAGCTGAGCGTATCTTGAATGCGTATTATCGTTGGTGCAATGAGTTGGTTCTCCTTCTCAATGAAGCTGAGCGTATCTTGAATGCGTATTATCGTTGGTGCAATGAGTTGGTTCTCCTTCTCAATGAAGCTGAGCGTATCTTGAATGCGTATTATCGTTGGTGCAATGAGTTGGTTCTCCTTCTCAATGAAGCTGAGCGTATCTTGAATGCGTATTATCGTTGGTGCACTGAGTTGGTTCTCCTTCTCAATGAAGCTGAGCGTAGCTTGAATGCATATTATCGTTGGTGTTGTCTGTATGACTGATTAACGCTGGTTCTCACATTCCTTATATATTAAACCACAACGATGAAAACATCCGTGTGTTTGTAAATGACCATAGTTTGTCAGTTTGTCTGTTCCTGGAGCAAACTTTATTTAATCCCAATGATGGCTATGTTAATTATATCTCTCTTATCCGGTGACGGGTTGATATAAACATTAAAACAAAGTTTTAATAATCCAATGTTTGCCAGTTAACAAGTGGCACAAATCCTTCGGGAAGTTTTACGTTGATAATATGACCAAGGGTGTCATTCTCCTTAATGCATTTTTTATTAGATAAGTAAATGAAATACAAATTGGATTGATGGAAAATGCTTAACAGTGGCCGCCATTTATTTTATGGATTGCAATTTGATAGCATCGATATTTTAATCAAAACTACTGTTTATGAACAAATTCTGTTCATTTTTCAAAATGAATTTGCTTTTCTTTATTCCTCTTATTTTTTGTAAAACACAATTTTGACTAGCATTTGCTCAATTTACTTAATTACATAGTACATGATTCGCCTTTTTCCTTTCGGACTCATATGTATTGAACCTTTCACGACTTCTGATTTATCATTCGATTCTGATAGCATTTAAAATTGAGGGATAGTTTTGAGGAAAAAAATAGACGTACTTTTAATTAAGTTAATAAATGTTTGCGTTCTTTAAAATTTCTTTCAGTCTACGGTCTGCTCAAAAAATCAAACGTAAATAGATTTAAACATATTCTGAATATGGGTATTGGGATTTCAAACGTACAGAGATCACATTTTCACTGGTGATCCACTCGATTACGCTGGTTACCAAAACGGTTCCGTTTTGGTAACAAATGTCGGAACATCGAAGGTACGATTTTTCTTTTTTCCTTATTTCACACGTTGTAGGCAGAATTACCACGACATTTTTAACACAAACGTGTATCAGTATCATATGTTTAAGAAAATGTACACATTTGCGAACAAATAGTTCAGAAGACAACAGAATCGTCGATTTAATTCCTCACTTAAGTTACATAAACGGTTTTTCGAAAAACGGTTAAGATCTGCACTTTTAACCGAAACCGTTTATGTAACTTAAGTGAGGAATTAAATCTACGATTCTGTTGTCTTCTGAGCTATTTTTTCGCAAACATGTACATTTTCCAAGACATATGATGCTGATACACGTTTGTGAGAAAAAACGTCGTGGGGATTCCACCTACAACGCGTGAAATAAGGAAAAAAGGAAAATCGTACCTTTGACGTTCCGACATTTTGTTACCAAAACGAACCGTTTTGGTAACTAGCGTAATCGAGCGGATCACCAGTGATTTTACTAGGAACTAAAATATCTACAATCTTTGTAAAGATGTCTCTCACGATATGGAACCTTGAACTGCATTTAGTTGTAATTTAGCATTAATAAGATGACATCTTGGGTAAAACAGAGCCATGCATCTCTATTTAGGTCAAAGGTCAAAATCAAAGGTCAAACTCTTAAGGT